CCGTGCAGGCTGGGCAGAGCTGGGAAAGCAAGCCGCAGGTACGTGCCCGCCTGCCAAGTGAAAGAGCCAGGCCAACCCGAGCCTGGCTTCCTTCCCAAGTCCCTCCAGCCCAAACTCAAAGGGGCCACCGGGAGATGCTGCCTGAGGCAGTGATAGCGCCTACCCATCTGTGGACAGGGAGGCAAGGCAACAGCCTGCACCACATCCTCCTCCGAGCTGAGCCCAGCTGAGTGAGCGCCTCTGCCTGATGCCCATGCCGCTGCAGCATTTGGAGCTGCCGGTGCATTTGGAGACACGTGGGGATGGGGACAGGCTGGGTGAGGGGTGGAAAGGATGGGCGGCTTTGGGGTCTCTCCGTCGGACCTGCTGGCCAGAGAAGCAGTGCTGCCGTCGCCTCGCCTCCCTGTTCGCGGACGGGTGGGCATTATCATTGCCTCTCCCAGTGGCCCCTTTGGGTTTGGGCTGGAGGGACTTGGGAAGGAAGCCAAGCTCAGGTCGGCCCAGCTTTTTCGCTTGGCAGGCGAGCACGCACCCGCGGCTCACTTTCCAGGCTCTGCCCAGCCCGCATGGCCCTGGCACAGCCCTGGCAGGATGAGCGGAGGGCCTGGTGGGGAGGCGCTCACTGCCTTGGCGAGAGCTCCACTGCCGGGCAGGAGGGCCTGCCTGTCAGCTGCGCTGGGCGCCCCAGGCGAAGCTTTTTGCACTCTGCCCAACGCCAGGCTGGGATGGCAGCTGGGAGCTTCTCCTGGGGTAGGCCAATCCTGCGCTGCGGCCCCAGGAGATTCACCTCCCCACGTGGTGTTGGGCTGCCCTCTCGGGCAGGGGAGGCTTTGTCGTACCAGTAGTAGGGTGTCATTTTTAAAAGAATTGGCTTTGCCTTCCAAGGCGAAGGGAAGGCGGCGACAGGAGTGCCTGAAGCCGAGTGTCTCCGCCGGGCTCCGGTTGCAGGGAGGAGCCCTGGCTGGCTGCACGTGGCTGTGCCAAACACCAGCAGCACGGGGAGAAGGGAAAGCAAACAGTGGCGGAAGGTCTCCCGATACGAAGTGCCCCACCAACACTGAAGTCAATGCAGGCAGCACCATATCCAGGTATGCAACAAAAGTACTTTCTAACAGCAAGGTCCCCCCGCCATTCTCACCCATTTTGCATGTTTAATATAGGTCTTAATTTGGGGGGAGGGGCTTAATTTGATTTTATGCCTATAAAACATGCTGGTACTTCCTATTGGGGGAGGCCGTATTGTTGGAGAAACACGGTACCGCTTTATAGTGCTTACAGCACTCTCTAAGCGGATTACAGAGTCAGCATATTGCCCCCAATAATTTGGCTCCTCATTTTACCCACCTCGGAAGGATGGAAGGCTGAGTGAACCTTGAGCCTGGTGGGATTTGAACTGCCAAATTGTAGGCAGCTGGCTTTAACAGTAGCTAGCAGTAGTGCAGTCTAGCCACGGCGCCACAGAGGCTCCTCAAATGGTTCAATACAGCTTATTTGGGTATCAATCATGGAATTTACTATCTTTCTTTACTTGATTTCCACCTGTTTCCCCCCCTCGTTTGTTTCCCTGTCTTCGCAATCTCATTGTAGCTATCCTTTCCATTTTCCCATTTCCATCTTTCCCATTCCATCCATTTTATTTTATTTTATTTAAATTAAGAGTGCATGGATGATTTCTGGATAAGAAAGCAAACAGAATCTGCAGGTGCAGATTAGTTGATAGAGGGGATGGTTTGTTTATTTAGTGCCTTTGATTCTTGATTCTTGGCAACTATATGGCTAAGGTCCTGCAGTTTTCTTGACAAGAGTTTAGAAATGGTTTGCCATGGGCTCCTTCCTAGAGCTGAGAAGGAATGACTGGTTCTAAATCAGGACTAGAACTCATGTCTCCAGGTTTTTAGCCTGAAGCCTTAACCACTACACAAACTGTGTATAGTGTTCTCCAAATTGCATTGAACATTCTCCAAATCATACACTGACTTTTTATGGTGCTTCCTGCATTTTGGAGAACAGCACGCATAGCCCCAGGAAGAAGGCACAGCCAGAAGCTGAGCAAGGTGCATCTTGTCAACAGTGAGAAAAGGAAGATTGTGAAAGTCTACTGGGCACAGAAAGGCCAGAGAATCCCAAGGTGTGGGGTGGCTGGTGCTTTATACTGTGGTGCTAAAGGGGCAGGCCATGGCATGGGCTTGAGATGACACTTCTCGGTGGCAATGCCAGTGGCACAAGGGCTGAAGAAGATGCCTAAAGGTTGCAGTTTCCAGCCAAGGCTGCTAAAGATCATGAGCCTCTGTTTTAATCCCATTGATACCACCAACAAAGGGTACTGCTGTGCTGGGTATCCAAAAGAGCAAGAAGAGGTGAAAATAGGCTAGGAGGAGGGGAGGAGTTGAGACACCATTGCAGTTGTAAATGCAAGTGGGCTGCTAAGTGCCCAAATTTTAATTGGATGACTAGTGGAGTGCTGCAAGGGATGTAACTTTAGGAACTAAGTGTAAATGCCATTTGTTCAGTGCTACTATAACTACCAATGGTCACTAAATGATCATAAAGCGAGGACTACCTGTTTTTTTAAAAATAATAAGCTTATCTTCTCTGAAATAAGAGATTCCAAAGACTCCAGTTCATTATTATATATTTTCAAATTTTGATCGGATTACTTTTATGTTTTAGTCATTTGCTAACATTCAGTAATGCAGTAATTCGGGTTCTTATTATATTTTATTTAATATTGTATTATTTTGCAATATTTTGGCCAATTTTATTTTAATTATCTTCAAATGATGCTCATTGACTGTATTGATAGACTACAGTAGCTCAGATCACAACCAAACCAGCTACAGTATAACTTGGGTTCCATAAACAGTATCTCAGCTAGCATTGGATCCAGGTTATGGTTCTTGAAAATTTACACGGAAGATCACTAGTTTTCCATGATACATAAAGCCACAAATAAGCCCCCAGATTTTATAAAGGAACTCACCTAGGAATAAAACGGCAGTATGGCCCTATAACCTATATAGATTGGAGAAAACTGAATGCTATTGCCAGCACAATTAAATATTCTCAATGCAAGATGAAGATTTTATGGTCTCAGAATATGGCAAGAAGAATAATTAGGAGGAAATAAGAATCTTGCAGCAACTGTAAAGGCAGCCAGTGGGTAGAGCAGTAGAAGCATAGAAGGGGACTTACGGAGGATGGTGGAATGAGTTATGGGGCAGCCAAAAAAGGCTTTCATCTTCCCTTACCACTTTTTCAGATTTAATTTATGCTTTAGATTAATGACAGCCATTAAAGCCAATAAGCTTATTTATTGAAATAACATTTTCAACAATAAAGGCATTGTTCTTTCACACACATATACACCAGAGGTGGTATTCTGACCAGTTCTGGAGAACTGGTAGCGGAAATTTTGAGTGGTTCGGAGAACCAGCAAATCCCACATCTGACTGGAGATTTTACAGTATCCTTCCCCTGCCACGCCCACCAAGCCATGCCCACAGAACCAGTAGTAAAAAATTTTGAATCCCACCACTGACACCCCCCCCAGGAGAATCATTTCTTAAAAAGGAATTCATATGCTTTCTGTGAAATGTGTGTCCCCTATTTCTCAAATCCCATTACAGAATTAACATAAAGGTTAAATAATTAGTCAAGCCTAGGATGAAAATAGAAAGAAAAAAAAATCTAAAGTCTTTCCAAGCAGCACAGTCTTGAGCCACTGCACACAATTCAGTTCAGTTAATTCATTTTTTTCCCAGCACTTCGTATCTTGGAATATTCTAAAGGATTAATTAATGTGGTGGGAAACTCATTAATATCAACATTTACTTTTCAGATATGCCTGCAATAAAACATGTATCCAATTAGACACACAGACCCTTTTTTTTTTTGTCTTTTAAGGACCTTGTAATCCCTTTTATAGGCTGGAGCCAGGACAACTGAATGGAGCTGAGTGTTTATTGGCCAGATGTCCTTCCTGTCGCCAATTCACAGTTCACTGCTGATATTTACTCACTGTGCACAGAGAGAGAGATATATATATGTCTCTACCTAGGATTGACTCACAGCTTCCTGATCCTGAGGTGAGAGCTCCACCTCTAGGCCACTGCACCAGTCAATTAGTTTTCCCTTAATACGTGGATATATTTATTGCCAACCATGTCTTCAGATATATCTGAGACAAAGAGTCCAGCTCCACTTATGGGCACACTGGGGCAGTTCGTAGCAACTTCACATGGTTGACTCATGTTCAGTTTAAAGCAGGCAATACAAAAATTGATTAACATTCAGAAGTAAAATGTAAAAAGATGGTCATTTAAAGACGAGGTAGAATGATAGAGTACTTTTTATGTCCCACGGTAAAATATTGTAGGACCTTTACGATGTTTGACTAAAGCAGGAGAGAGAAGAAGCTGGTCTGTTTAGACTGGTTGTTTTCCCTCAACAAGAATAAACTGAATTTAGAATTGTCCCTGAAAGCGGCATCTGGTAAAGAACAATTTTCACTACCTCTCCATTCAATTCGTCCTCTTTTGTCTCTAATCCGATAAAATAATATCCCCCGAAGCACTAAGCAGGGACAACCTTCATTGAGGGATCCTTGGTCGTCTCTGAACTTGCCTGTTTTCTTGAAGACGTTTCAGTACCAAAACTAGAAACATTACTAAGTGCTAGAAAGAAGTGAGGTTTGTTGCCCTGAGCTACAAATATTCTCCTTTATTGGTACATTCTTTATTTTGCTGCTTCGAAGAAGCGTCCGCTTTTCACAGCCTCTGCACCTGCCTTTATTCAGTGTAAAATAATGTTGGTAGGTTAGGATTCCGTTCCGGAGAATGAGTTCCCTATGAGAAAGTACACACAACACTTCTGAAGAAAGCCATCATTTTGATGGCGTTGACCACCTAGAACCAAGAGATGGCGCCACTGCCCCATATATTCACGCACCTTAAGTGTGTTTACTTCCTAAGATCCTCCTCTTCCTCTTCCGAGCTTACCGGACGAAGAGGGGAGGCTGCGTGGTTCTAATCGGGCGTCGCGTGGGCCAAGTATGTGCGCTGTTGTTTCTGGCCCGTTTTTTTTCTAATGGCGAAAAGAGAGGAAGCAGGGAGGCAAAGCAAATGGGACAGCCTTCCGTTGCAAGAATGTTCAGCGTAGCTTCTTTCAATTCAGTGTCCCCTCGTTGTCTTGTAACCCGGTTCCCATCATGTGCGGCCACTCAGGCACGGCTGTTCCCAAGCACATGTGAAAGGCACTGGATTAAGGGCGGGATGGCTGCAGCGGTTCTTGGGACGAAACAAAGGATTCAAGCGAATGCAGAGGGCAAATTTTCACTAATCTGAACCCCCTCGAATCTCTTTTGCTTGAAAAGTTTAAGAAGGTTGCACCAGAAAAGCTGCGACCCTTTCTAAGAGAAAATTTGAGTTTACTCTCGTTCCTTGCGAATCCTGTAGCTTGGAGTTTTTAGTTCCCTTGCTAAAAATAAAAACCTTAATCCAGATTAATTTGTTGACCACCGGCATTTGGAGATACGCGAAGCCGCTAGCTGGTTAAACCCCTTGATTGGACTTCTACAAACAAAAAACAAAAAAAACAAGCAGCACTACAGGATTTTTTTTTTAAACTATTGGCACTCTTTGGGATTTGCAATCCATATGCATCTGAAAGAGGAAGGACTTTAAATTTCCTAAATTACAACCCTGTTTGCTTCTACTAATAGAAGGGTGCATCCAGTTATATGAAACAACCATGTATAAATTCATGTAACAAGTTGCATGGCAGCAAAATTTAAATAGCTGTATTTGGAGTGATGGCTATCTTCTTTCAGCTTGCTTTTAGGCACATATTCTGCACAAAAATGTACAATATGCAGTATTATTGACACCAAGAAGTCCATTTAACACAAACTATTTTGAACAATTTGCAGCACTTAATTTCTGCCACAACAGTTTTGAGGTTATCTATTCATATAAATAGTAGGATGTTGCATGGATTATATTGATCATTTGAATTAATACACACAGAAATGCAGAATATGAGGGTAGGTTTTGAGACCTTCTTGCTTCCAAGTTTAACTAAGGTAGAAATCAAGCAGCCAGCAGGTCCTGCTGGGGTGCAATATTCTGGTAACTGTTGGATATGCATTCAATTTTTCTGGTCTGATATTAGAATAAAGCATTGTCCCTCTTAATTGTGTGATGTTCGTTTGATCAGAACAAAAAAATAGACCTTTGGGTTGTGATTCTTCCATAGCTGGGGTGGGAGAAAGACCAAAGATCAGTGTATGCAAGCTGCCTTCTTTAACTTGGTTTCTTCCAGATAACATTTGGCCACAAAGACTGCCACTAAGTCCAGCTTATTTGGATGGCATTAAAACTACCGTATACTGAAGATTATTGTATGTTTTTTTCTATAAAGCTATTGATTCTGAATCTAGTGTCATTCTAACTTGCTGAAAGTTTTATATTGCCTTGTGGGCATCTTATCAGTAAAAGAGAATTTCTTCCAGAATGTAATAATTTGTTGCTGTTCACAAGCTTTTCTTGTCCTCTTATTGTGGTGGTTGTAGTATTATTTTTCCCCTTGTATAATTGCTTAATCACAGAATACCTTTTCATGTAAGAGTCATGAAAATGTCGTGACAAATTCAGTTTTGATGTACATTGTTTTTCATTGTGATATTGAGTAATGATGGGAAAGATTCCATCCAGGGCTGAGCCACTCATAACTCTACAGCTGTAATTTCCTGTATAATGATTTTTGTATATGTCTTAGAGACAAAGGTGCAATTATTCAGCAGCACGATTTCATAATTTTTGAGGTATATTAAACCATAGTTTACAAAACCCAGTGCAAACTATCTAGAAAGAATAGACAGTACAGATAATCTTCAACTTACAAACATTTAGTGAGTGTTTTAAGGTAACAACAGCACTGAAAAAAAGTGACTTATGACTGTTTTTCACACAACCGTTGGAGCATCCCCATGGTCAGGTGATCAAACTTTGGGTGCTTGGCAACTGGCTCATATTTATGATGGTTGTTGTGTCCTGGAGTCATGTGATCACCTTTTGCAACCTTCTGACAAGCACCGTCAACGGGGAAGCCAGATTCACTTAACAACCGTTACTAACTTAACTGCAGTGATTCACTTAACAACTGGGGCAAGAAAGATTGCAAAATAGGGCAAAACTCATTTAACACTGTTTTGCTTAGCATCAGAAATTTTGGGCTCAGTTGTCAGAAGACGAGGCCCACCCAAATATATACGGCCAATTCCATTTTGTATCATTGTTTTCTTCTTATAGAGTAGTATTAATTTTGCTCCTAGCAACCAAACCATAACCCATTTCTGGTCTAGACTATAAAACAAATTGAGTTTTCTTATAGTAATTTTTATTAACACTTTTTCCTTCCCGTGTCCACATTAACCCTTAAGACTCTCAGAGGCCTCCAAATGTTTTTCTAGAGTTGTAACATACTGTAGGATTATAGTTTTTATTGTAAATTAATTATTAACCATTACTCCAGAACAGAGAGACTTTTTATTTGCTTCATTATTACCCCAAACCGGAAGTTGAAAGTTCCCTATATTATTAAAAATATCGTTGACTTTGATCAAAATGAAATTTTATGCATTAGCACAATTAGGACATTGCTGATTAAAATGAAAGTAAAAGCCTTCCTGCTTTGTGATAATAATAGTTGGATAATATGTAATCAAGTAAATTAAAATCCTTATTTACAGAACAGGCATATATTACATATCCGTCACTGTAAGCTCATTTGTATTCTTGGCACCCATCCTTCCCTCTGGCAATTAAAAATCAGGAGAAAGCAGAGCAGATGTAACAGCTACAGGATAGATGGACTTCCTGCCTGCTGCAAACTCCTACGACATTTTTAAAATGAGGGGACCATATGGAGGAAAAGACTTCAGGGACGCCCCATCTTCTACCTTATGTGAGCCCTCCTCTTTTCAAACGAGTGCATGAGCAGAGTTTGCATGTTTTCCAAGTTCTTTGAAAATTTCTGTGTCTTTTCTAGGTAGAGCAAATTTTCTCTGCACCACCATTAGCTAAGAAACACTAGTGTGAAAAGTTTATAGGTAATTCAAAGCACAGTAACTGTTAACAAGGCTAATGTTTTTAGTCCTCTGTGAATTGGCCATTCTTTTTGGTGATTTATATAAAATATTACCTGCTGACATCACTACAGAAAAAAAAGTTTTGCATCTGTTTTGGATAATGGAACTGGTACTATTGAACTACAGCATGTATACTGTCAAAAGTCTGTTGGAAGAAAAATCCATCTGGTTCAGTTCCAACCTGGGAGAAAGACACTGGAAACATGGAGGCTGATTGGAAAGATGGTTTATTGATGAAGCAGAACCACATGTAGTTCTGGGCAGCTGACAAAATGAGTTGAGATTGGGTGGGTTTTATACCTTCTTTGGGCTTTTTATTTGAGCTTCCTGTTCCTGTGCAAGAACATGTATTCTATTGGCTATTGTCATATTCCTATGGGGTTATGTAGGGGCCATAGTTGGCTCTATAGGCAAAAGAAGAAATGCAAATCCTAGGTGTTTGTCTGAGCTAATCTGGTCAACCTCTGGCTTATTGTTTATTAATTCCAAGGTTTTTGTGACTTTGAAGTTTGAACTCCTCTGAGATGATACAATGAAGGGGCTTGTGTTCTGAAAGGGTGTTGGGCAATTCCTATTATGGCTAATGACTTTCGTCCTATGTTGGATGTTACGTAAGGGGTTGCTTCTAATCCTATCATTCTGCCTTTGTTAGCTGTCAAATTTTTCTGCAAGCAGTTTCGAAATATCCTGTCTTGAATGGATTTCTGCCTGCAGTACTTGCTTTGCTTATGAATAGAGCCATCTAAATAGTTGGCTTCTTCTTTCAATAAGCTCTTTATCTCTTAAGTGCAAGCATCTGCTATGAGATATTAAGAAAGATTTGGGGGCTGCTTCCTGCCTTTAAAAACATGTTTCTCCATTTCTCATTTAGGGAAATATAATATTCTGCCTTTTTTAAATATTTCTTAAAATATTTCATTCTTCTAGGAGTGGGGGCTTCCCACAAGTCTGATTAGCAAACCCAAGAAAAGTAGGCACTCTCCGGAACTTTTGAATCCCAAAGGCACAACTTTAGGATACACAATTTTGGTACTGAAGAATCAAAACCAACTCTGGTTTTTCCCATGCAAATGCTTGTATAGTTAAACAATAGCTTCTCCTTCTCCCCACCCCACGTTGGTCACATTGTCAAGTTATGAATCGTTCTTTTGTTTTGAGAACAGTTCGTTTCTTTGTCAGATATCTGCATCCGTGACCTTGGTAGGATCTTGTCTCTCACAGCCTGTTTCTGGAGCATCTGCATTCTTTCTCACCCTTCCCTCCCCCCAGTTCTATGACAGGTTGAATAGCGATAAGACCCAAATGTTTCAAAAGTGGTTCAACCTTGACATAAACTGGAATCTCCATGGACACACAATTATGTCAGGCTTTATTCTTGCTCTCCAAAATTGTAGGAGCAGCAGTATATTATAGGGTTTTTTTCCTATGTAGGATAGTGAAATTTCAGATCTTTCCTCATACAAGTTGTGTATATATAGCATGCAAATTATAAGCCATTGCTCTCAGATATACAGTCATATTAGCTACCTTTCTGTGCTGTCTTGTAGTCGTTCATTTGGAAATCACTTGAAATGGAGACCATCCTGATAGCAGATCTATGACAACTTGCCTCAGCCAACTTGTTCCATCCAACTTGCCACAGCCAACTCTCTGTGGGATAAGATTTACATTAACATCAAAGAAATAGTGAAATGGAATCATTAAAGAAAGGATGCCAAAACAAAATGTGAATCACAAAAATTAACATATTTTAAAATTATTTTAAATCATTGAATTGAATTGTCCCTTAGCAAGTTGTCCCAGGCGAGTTGGCCACATTGTCCATGTCGAGTTGGCTGTGGCGAGTTGTCCCAGTTAATAAAAGGAGAGGGGTACCTGATAGCAGTCCTCTCCTTTCGTTCAGAACTATAATGCTTGAGGTGAAAAACCTATACTTGAAAGAGATTTGGAGTGCCAGGTTTTACCCAGAACAGTCTTAATTGCGTGCTGTTTCATTATTTATTTATTTTGTATAGCTCAAGTGAAGTGCAATGTTGATGGAACTGAATACTCACGTCTTACTGGCATCTTTCAGTGGAAAACCTATCTGTTCTTAAGATCTGTCTTTGCCTTCTATTGTATGTGTGAGGTTTTTTTGCATCTGCTCAGTATTGGCAATGTTCATAGTTGCTTCTGACATAAGGATGTTTTCAACTTTGAGATGTTCAAAATGACTGCCACCATAAAATGAGTGTTGTGTTGGCTGTTTATGGGACAGATTAATTTTACAGAATGGGTGGATTGTTCTTTCAGCCTGCACCATTTACTTGAGAGGGAAAGGGTCAGAGTATTCTAAAGGGCAACGATTGAAGTCACAAAAAGCAATCCTGTTTTTAAAATGGACTGTGAGGAAAAGCATGTTTACATCATATTTTACAAACTCCCAGATAAGCTTTTTAAAGGGCAGTAAACACCCAAAGTTTAAACTATTTTTTTTCTGAAGAACAGGGGAAATTGAATACCAACATTGCAATTCTTTGCTTGTCTCATCAGAAGTACATTTCACTAAATTGGGTTGGATTTATTTTGAAGTAAATGTGTTGAACAATTAACAGTAAGACTGTAAAGAATAAAATGGAGAGTGAGAGTGGAATTTTGCCAAACGTTATTTTGCCCCAGCACTGCAAAACATCTGAAAAGTATTTTGGTATTTTGGAAGGTTTTGTCTAGGAGTTTTATTCTATTCATAAAAATCTTTGTCTCTTGAAAATTAACAGATATTGCTTCACATGATGAAATTAGAAGGAACTAAATTCTCATTTAGAGAACAGAGATTAAAAAATACTTGATACCTTAATCCTAAATTAACTTGGGCTTTAAAAAATAAAATGCAACCCTAAATTGAATCTGTGGGAATTTAAATGGCTGATCTTTAATCTTAACCACCCTGTGTGCTAAATTTTGATTTTAGTTTTCTTTTGTCTTTTAGTTTGCAGTTGCCACTGGTACGTCACAATGGTAAGATTTGTTTCCTTATAATTGCTAATGTATTTGATTTGTTTCATGTTAGTAGATACAGATATTTATTCCAGTTGAATTGCTTTTAAAATCATTTAACATCCATTTGAATTATAATTCAGGATGTATGGGTGTTATCGTATGTGGGCAACATTGTCAATGACTTTCATACAATAATAAAAAAGAGGAAAAATTGCAGAATAGTTTAGTAAAAGTTGCTCCATTATTCAACACATGCACCTGATATCACAACAAATCATCTTGCCTTTCAGTGTAAGTATTGAAATTAATAGACAGTGTGATGGGAACTTCAATCAGCAGATTTTAGAACTGAATGCAGAATCAAAGGTTTAGAAAACAGAATGGTGCATCCTGTAATGACTTTTGTATACTTTGTATTGAAGTATGATTTATCTTCCAGTCAGATTTTGAATATACAAATTGTGGGTATTTTATTTTTTCCTGGAAAGTTGTGCCCTAAAATTAGATCAAAGTTAATAGCCTATTAGATATGCAGATTTAAGATGATAAAAGAATTTGGTAAGAACATAAATCTAAGTGGAGCTGGTAATCATTGAAGGCAGTTATAATAAAAAAGGTTTGTATTTTAGCTCTTGAGAGGTAGGAGTAAGTGTGCATATATTTATATGTGTATATATAATCCATGTACTCTTTATTGAAAATTATGGGCCAATATTCTTCCCCACGCTCCAGTTTTGTGGGTGGATAGATGTTTTTCTCAGTGTACTCTTATAACCAGCTTCTGTACCTAAGGAAGATAAGAGCCTAGACTTTCACACTCCTGTCCATCACTTTAATTTAATACAATATATCTGCCTATCATTGTTCCAATAGCACCATACCTGGCAACTAGGCTTTTGCTCTTCATATTTAATTGTAAGGTGCTATGAATGTCCACGCAGAAAGTGTGATTGGGAAAATTCATATCCATTCCATAACCATATCATTGGAACAGAAGTTAAACAAATGGTGTTTTGATTGTTATAAATAAGTGGCACTATTTTTGCATCCACATGCACAAAAACATTGTAAGTTTATATGCTCACCTCTTTCCAACTTGGTACTTTCAATACTTCCTAACCTATTTGTTCTCCTTATAGTAATAAAATTTGTAGTCTGACATCTCTTAGGACACTAGACTCAAGAAGTTGTTCTGAGCAGAAGCTTACAAGCAACAGCATTATAACTGTCTTTCATGTTCCTCGTTTTTATTCCTTGTAGCTTCTGTAGAAATACATAATACAATTTCTTTAAGGTTTAGAAAGGCCAGTATATTCCTCATAATCATCGTCTCTGTGTGTTTGTCTTCAAATCAGTTCTGGACTCCTGACAGTGCTTTGACTTATCCCTGCAGTTTTCTTGGCAAGTTGCTTTGGTGATTTGCCATTGTCGTCTTTCTAAGACTGAGAGAGAATGACTGGCTCAAGGTTACCCAGCTGGCTTTGTGCCTAATGTGGGACTAGAATTCAGTAGTTTTCTGATTTTCTAGCCTGATGTCTTAACCACTACTGGTGCCATAATCATCCTAGATTTACAAAAAATGATTTAAATACCATGTTTAAATGTTTAAAATATTGAGATTTTATTAACATTCTATTTAAAGTAGAAGTTTTCATAGGTCATTTCTGCCCCTTTTCGTTCTCCCTCGAAAATGTTCAGCTTTGCATCAGAATCACAATACTAACCTTGAAACAATCCTTCCTGTCCCTTTTTGGAATTAACAAGAGCTTTGCAAATCAGCCAGCTGTATTCTTTTTTTCGACGAAGTTGCCATTAAAATAAGCTTGAGAAACAACTTAACATTAATATTTTGCACTTGTTCAAAAAATGTAATTGATTTCCTTTACTGGAGTTGAACTAACCCATTCTTTCCATACAAATACAATAAAAATAGAATAAAAGTTTTGGTTTTTTTGAAAAGTTTTGACTGTGCGCAGGAAAAAAAACCTCTTTATTTTATTTAGAATCTACAAAAAAATTCTGATAAGGTGCACATAGTTACAAATTTTCAGGTCCTAAAAAGATCCTAGTAGCAATCGTTAGCATATGCAAATCTACAAATTAGAATAAAATAACCTACATGTGCCATGAAGTTGTGGCGATGAAGGTTTGCATCTGAAGGATGCTAAGTTAAAGATTAAGTTAGGATATCAGGCATAGCATTTCTTTAATATTGGGGCTGAATTCTGATATTTGCACCCAAAAGATATGCTAAATATAAGCTTGATTTCTGAGTTTTAGTTTTTTATCTATTTTGGGGGGCTGGGGGGGGGAATTTGCTTTTAAGTAAGTAGAAAAACAAAAAGTAATTGCCAATAACATTAACAAGAAGAAAAAGTTGTATGCAAAATAAGCTAATCTTCGGAGCAATTTGTTCTTGTCCTTGCAAACTCTGTCTTCAAAAGGCTATTGTGTAGCCCTGGGCGATTAAAATAATGGGAATGTTGCCATTAACTTCAGTGTATAGAGACTGAATCCATTGTCAAGTTTCCTCTCCCTCCCCCAAAATAAAGCTTTTCAGAGAAGTTTGAGAGTGGAGGAGAGACTTGTATTCAAATGCGTCTGACAAAACAGTATGTCCTACTGGTTCCTGGGAACCAGAAAGTGAAACTAGCCATAAACAAAAGGAGATTGACCTCTTAAGATTCATTGTTAAAACTGAATACCAAGAATAAATACATTTAGGCTTCTAGAATTCATGTATTCTTAAAAGTTTAGGTTAAAATTGCACTTTTAGAAACCTTGTCAACTTCAAGGATTTGGTGACCAAGAAATACATTCATGATACAAAAAGTTAGTTGATTGTGTGGTGTTTACCCTTTTTTCCCATTTAAATAAGAATATGTTTTTCACTCTTAAAAGTGAAATAGTACTGAATGAAATGCAGTTCTCTTGACTTAAATTATAGTGGCTTTTACATAATGGAGGACGAGGGCACTTTTGAACATATATACACACATGCATACGATTGGACTTTCTGGACAAGTACTTGCAATATTTTTTTCTTCAAAGAATAGGTAAAGCACACAGACAGATGTTCATTTGGAAGTCCCAGCTTCTATATATTACATCATCTGGAGAGGCCCTAGAACCGTGATGGCAAACCTATGCCACGCATGCCAGAAGTGGCACACAGAGCCATCTCTCTGGGCACATCAGCCATCACCTGTTGCTCTTTTGGGTTCCGGCATACTCGTGCATACCAGCCAGCTGGTTTTCGCGCACATGGGAGCACCAGAAACTGGAAGAGCAACTCCCCCAGCGTGCATTGTGTACGCCAGCCAGCTGGTCTTCGCGCACGCGTGCACAATAGGAACCGGAAGACCAGGTGGTCAGCGTGCATGCATGTGCTGGGAAGCTTCCGGTTTTCAGTGTTCCTACATACGCGTGTCAGGGAGCTGCTCTTCCAGTTTCCGACATGTACACGCTCCCATTTTGGCATTTGGTGCCGAAAAGGTTAGCCACCACTGCCCTAGAGGGTAGCTGTATTCAGCGGCCTCATATTTTAACCGCTTTAGATACAATTTTTGCCTGCTTTGAAATTGCTTTGCAATTTCATTGACCTTTTGTGGTATAAGAAATTGGAACATTCTCCAGAGTAATGAATACTTATTATTGTATAGACTGTCTTTGTTATTGGATGTGTCAGTTTATGCTGAAGAACTTGAGGTAGTTGGTTCTCTAGATCCTCAGACATTTTAAACTTGACAATTAGAAATTGTGAAGAGTGAAACTCTTGTGAAAAGAGACTGCCAAAGACAGGAAACAGCAGAAAACAAACTGAATGTCAGAACAAGCCATAAAAACTTCCAACAAGAAAAAAGAAGTCAAAGCCAAGAAAGACAATTTCTCAAGAAAGAACTTAATGAAGAATTTCAGAGAACCATTGGAAAGACTTAGAATAGTATTAAAACAACATGTCAATTAAAAAATACTTCTTTGGTCTTTTTAGTTGCTAGCAGAAAGGGAGTGGGGAAAATAGTGCATTCCATAAATACTTCAGATAATTGTTAGGCAGCCGAAGCTGTTGGCACGCAAGATTATTACTGGAGAGCATGATTGATGACTCTTGGCTATCGATATGTCCCATTGGAGAATATACATCCAGGGGGTGGGGGAAGACTAGGGTCAAGGGTGAAATGAATGATGTGTCTTAGAGTCGGCTTCACCCAGGTAATGCCAACATGGTCACCCCTAATAAATCTTTTTTTTTTTACTCTGAGAGATGTGGCTAGAGACTTATGATTTGAATGGGGGGTGGATTGTCGGAGCCCTGACACACCATTTATAAAAACATCAGTATAGGTAGTACTGGACTTACAACCACAATTGAACCCAAAATTTCTGTTGCTAAGCGAGATATTTGTTCAATGAATTTTGATTCATTTTACGACCTTTCTTACCACCGTTATTGGGTGAATCACTGCCGCTGTTGATTTAATGATATGGTTGTTAAATGAATCTGGCTTCCCCATTGACTACTTGTCAGAAGTTGAAATGGGGGATCACCTGACCCCTGTACACTGCAACCATCACAAATATGAGTCAGTTGCCAAGTGTCTGAAGTTTGATTACATGAAATGGGGGCGCAGCAACAGTCATGAGAGTGAAAAATGGTCACGTCACTTTTTTCAGTGTCATTGTAATTTTGAACAGTCACTAAATGAACTATTGTAAGTTGAGGACTACCTGTAAAGAAGATGGAAACAAACATGGAAAAAACAAGGAAGGCCTTCCCAAAGACCTCTTGAATTAAAAAAAATAAATGTTTTCAACTTGGCATGTTAAAGATGGACAGAGAACAGCTAATTTAAAGAAGATCAAAGATGAAAGGCGTAAACTGAAATTCTATACAATAGAGATGTCAACATCTAAGAGCGTTTTCAAGAGATTGTATCAGCAAGGAAAGCTTAATCAAAACATATGTTTCTTTTTGCAAATAATGGCACTGTTCTACTTTGGAATTTGGCACCACAGTT